TTCGGTTCGGACATTTTGACCAGCCCTAATCGTATCTTGAAGAAATTTGATGTCATTATTCACTTTATTGTCATGAATAATTTGAGGGGCAAATTGACCTCAAATTTTTTTTATATATGTGCAGTGGAGATATTAGTTGTATTACATGTTGGTTTAGTCCATATTACTCAGGAGATGCCGCCAAAATTTTGACAAATTATATGCGACATATTTCGAGGCAATCTGTAAGCCCTCGCTTATTCAGGGTCGCACAGATACTTTCGAGACAATTCGTAAGTCCTCACATATTTGGGATCGATGCATATTTTTTGAGGCAATCTATAAGACCCGTCTACTTGACAGCTTATATTTCAAAATCCGACCCGCACATGAATGTACAACTCAAACTTGGGGGACTATTGTTACATTTATCAATTACGTGGCATCGACTATTCATTGGGTTGGGCTTATTAAAACAATTTGCATCTTGGGCTCGTCCCATTACCCACTTGGCCTATTTACATTTTCCTATATACATGTGAGTTTCATTCACAATAAGATATGGTTTCTAATCCTATCCAGATTCCATCTCTCTCTTGCACTATCTTTTTCTCTCGTCCGGCCATTGATTTGACAGTTGGAGTGCAAACGATCGCTGGACCTTTTTCTCGATCGGTGGCATTTGCCTCCTAACGAAGTGTTCCAGTGTGCAGGTGATATCTACGTGGAGGAGAGGTGGAAGGGGTTCTGTTAGCGCATTTTTTGAAGTCAACAATAACGCTTAGATTTTTGGGTGTGTAAAACGTTATATATCAAAAACATGGCAGTTGAATTAGAGACATCTTCTAGGTGCTTTCCCTTCCCCGTCTCATAATCAAAGCGAAAATGCTATTCAATATGGATTTCAAGGTTCATTTGTTTTGTTATTTTTGAATAAGGTGAACTCGAATTAGCTGCATGTTGTCCAATGACCTGTTTTTGGAATGTGTTTTGGTATCTTTCCACTCATTGCTATAGATTTTGCACTATAATCAAGAAGTTTTGTAAGGAAAGATCCCATGCCTCAACGCACAAAAAGGGGTCATCCCTCGTACTCCTATAACGTAGGAAATGTGGTGACAAAAATGTACTAGTATGAATTTGTATTGTACACGTATAATGAAAAGAATGTCAACATTGTAATTAGACTTTATAAAATCTAAAAATATCAACATTGTAATTAGACATTATAAAATCTAAAAATATTGATATTGTGTGCCTAGAGACATGTTTGACAGGTTGAACTACATAACACTAACACGAAAAATAAAAAATAAAAATCTTGTCTCTTGTCTCGACGAATATTATATAATGTTGTATGCCTAACATGCCACAAGTGTAAACCAACCAGTAAAGCAGCATTTAGGAATTGGGTGCAATTGATACAACACACTTGACTACTATGCAGTAAATTTCTAATGTCATGTACCAGATAAACAAAGAATTTCAGAACTGAGAAACAAAGTCGTATAGACACATGAGAATGCAATATATATATATTTATTTATATAAAAACATCATGCAGCATGTAAAACGTTTATATATATTACTAAACCCATCAAACATGGAAACAACTCAAAATTCAAGTACAAAGAAATCAAATTCCAAGATTAAGTTATCCAGCTGCTTGAAAATCCCCGAAATCATCATCTGGTATATCTTGAAGATTTTGGGATTGATGAGATCCTGATTCTTTTGGTTGTTCTTTTTTGGGATTTGACAAGTCGTCTTTAGAAGTTTCCTCGAGACTAAATTTGGTGGGCGATCCCGAGGGTGAATTTTGAGCAGTAACAGCAGGCGAGAGGGGTGCAGACGGAGGAGGGGGCAATTTCATACCTCCTGCTGATTCTTTCTTAGTACCCTTGTCATCCAAGGAAAGATTATTCAAGCCTTGCTCAAAGAACTTGGTCTTTAGGTTGCCACTACCTTTCTGTTGAACACCAAAAAGGGTATAAGACAATGTATATGCAACTACAGGGAAAATATGTAAAGACGATACGAGAGCAATTTACATTCTTTAATTGAAGCACTAAGGTCTCCCCATCTTTTAAACTGTAATCTACTGAAGAAATATTCTGGTGTTGTTGTTCCATCTCTTCAGCAGTTTTCTTCTTATTCAGGTACCTTCAAAAGTCAAATAAATTAAACTTGAATCAAAACCAGGGAAAGACAAAACGATAACGCAGAAAATTGATGAATGAATTTGAATACAACAGTCGAAAAATGAAAAGGATTAAGGAAAACAAGAGTATGGATGACTCAAAAAGTACTTCATATGGTCATGGAGGGCAGCTTGGAAGTCATAAGCTTCAGGCCTTTCTCGAAATCCTATACCGATGAAAGCGTGGCGAAGGCGTCCATCTACATCAATTTAAATGAGGATCATTCCAGTATGTATCTATATCACTATGTAAGAAAATAACACAAAAAAAGTTGTGGTAAAAGCCCATATGTAGAAACAAACACACAATAGATGCACTCGCTTCACATCCTTCAATTCTGATTCACGAATTAATTGGGAAAGCCAACAAAAAGATTCAATATCTGCTTCTTATTTTCCATCAGTTTGAGGTTCATGTGAGAAACAAAGACTAAAAGATCATAGTCCAAAGTCCACAATCTACCCTGTAGATAATTGTAGAACTCCAATCCAAAATATGTTCAGGGAATAACTAGATGACCTTGTCTTTAACTTTCTATAAAGGTGGGACTGGATAATTCCTGGAAAGAACCAGAAGTGTCGCTAATGTTAGAAAAAGAAAGGAAAAAAAGGATGTTGCCCACCTTGCTAAATTAGAGGTTTCTAGGGTAGTTTATGTGGCCACATGTTCCCATATTGTTTAAGGTTTTTGCACTCCATGCTTCCACAACTAAATTGCTTAGCCCTTGTTCGATACCCATTTTTCTCTCTTTTTTTCAGCCATACATTCTTCAATAAAATAATATTACACAATTTTTTTTTGTTTTTTTTTTCCACACATTCTCCATCAACCTACTATTCCAAAATGCATTCTTACTATAAAAATGGAAAACAAACGGGGGATATGACTTGTCTCTTTCAAGATGAAATATGGTTGATATCAAACTACCAACTTATAATAATGGCTTGTTTAGAACGGTTTTTGAAAAGTCAAGAGCTGCTTTTGAGATTAAGAATATTCTTTTGAGTCTATTTGGCTAAATTTCTAAAAGTATATTGTTTGATTAAAGAGCTTTTAGAGGAAGCTAACCTAAGGTGGTTTCCTCTAAAAAACTCTTCTACAAAAAATAGAAGTAAAAGCAAAAGCTATCCCAAACAATTTCTTGATTTTCTTCTGCAGTAACGATAATAGAAGTCCTAAAAGCTCAGCATGGTATCGAGGCAGCCTCATATCATGTCTATTAACCACCAGCCCTTAGTAATGCAAACATTTGTAATGTAGCAAGAGATTACAAAAAACACCAAAGATGCAAAACAGCCTTCATGAAAATTTTGACGTCAAACTTCATTAAGACCCAGGTTGGGGGTTGGAGGTAATGGTTTCAGACAAATCTGCAGAATCTGAAAGTATCTTGTCAAAATAACTAGAACAAAATATTTTCCATAATAATCTTTCTAAACTAGTGCAGGTTTGACTCTGCATTACCTTGATGGAATAGCAGAAGGATTGAAGTAACATATGTGATATATCTAAAATATAAAATGATATTTGGAGATGAAAAATAAGAAATGAATGGTATCCAAGAGAAAACAATGCATTTAATTTTCTAGCCACCTAGGTCAACCTTAAGATGCAATCAAAACATGCTTGATTTCATCCGAAGTTCTAGGCAGCACCTGAATTGCTGTACAGCAGTAAAAGGAGACTAGAGTGCAGAGAAATTTCTTGTTCCTTTTTATGGGATGTTATCCAGGTGCCACATGGATTAAAAAATTTCAAATAATAGACCATTCAATAAGCTAAAAGCTAATGCATATGATTGTCCAGGAAAGTGCATCACTTGGCATCTCTTACTGCAATGTTCACAAAATGGGTTAAAGAATAAAATAACAGGAGAGATATATATTGGCATTCCACCCAGGTGGATACAAACATACATTAATACGTAGTGTCACTCGACATCCCTTACTGCTATATTAATAACACCAATCACTTAAATAGTCCCTTTATCCACTGAAAAGGCTATAAAAGAACACCCAGCTAATTACATTATGAGCAGATAACTTTTTGCAAGGAAGACAGATAGCAGATTGAAGTGAAATGGAAAACAGAAATAATACATTGTTAGACAATCTTTACAGCTCTATTCTGCTATTTTTTTTTTGATAGGTTACAGCTCTATTCTGTTATTATTAGTCGAAAACATAAAAGAAACAAAACTTTTAATGAAAAAAATAATTTCAACGAAGAGACGGAAATTCTATATTACCAATATTCTCTTCTACTCGAAGAACGAAATATCTGCAACAATTTAGAATTAACAAAATGAGTTAGAGAGCAATATAGGTGGCTGGCTTTGAAGTCAATAGAATTTGTACACATAAATACCAGAAGTCCAAAATTAAACCCCACATCACACCACTTTTAAGCATTTCAAAAATTGTTCTCATGAGAAGTGAATTAATTTTGTGATTAGTTTTGCAAACCTGCTGCTATCAATTACAGGCTCCACAGGGTGTGGCTCCCCATCTCTCAAAAATGCCCGTGCATACAATTCACCTATTTTAGAACAACAATAAAATATATTGAGAAAAGTTATGGAACATTAACTTTTATTGAATTCCAACAAATCCACCTGTCTCCTTGTCTTCTAATCGGACAATGCATTCTTCTCCTCTGCTAATAACTTTCAGAGTGCCTTCCCATGCCCATTTATTGACATTCCACTCATCAGCCCTAAAAGAAAGAAAAGTTCAATTATAGTTTTGACCCCCATCCCCTGAAATGAATTTCCAGCAACAAGTACGTTATCTACATCTCCACATTCTTGTTTTAGATTTATTGTAAAAGGCAACAACCATAATGATACAGCAGGTTCATGTATTGGAAATAGAGAATTAGATATGTACACTCAAAAATTTTGCCAAATGGTCATACAATGACCACTGCTCGGTTCATTGAAATGTTTTTGTTTAGATTAATTTAGACAAGCTTTAAACCAAAAAAATAACAAGAAACTAAGAGTATTTCTTATGCAGTCCTGAAGATAATTTAATCTTTCCTGGACAACTACTGAACTCAACAAAGATTTATCCCATACTTTTGTGCAGTCGGCTACATGGATCCTCTTTTTTCACTCTGCTGTGTCAAGAGCCAAATCCAAGGCTACATCACAAAAGCTCAAATATTTTTTTAATTACCGTAATTTAGGTAGGCCTCTTCCTCAAGATTTCTCACATATTATATTCATAACTGGTGTATCTAGCAACCTCCATCAAATATGTCCAAACCATCTTAATTAAACCGCAAACTACAATTAGTGTCAGTTTAACAACTTGCAAAAGATGCTCGATACTAACTCTGTCTCTTAAGGTTATACCGCAAATTTCTCTCAACATTCTCATCTCAATTTTTGTAAATGTTTCTTAAAAGTGAAATATTCAGTCCCATAAAACATTGCTGGTCTAGTTGTAGCAGTCTTTTCTTGACTATAACTAAAACTAATATGTTATTGACTGCAAACATTTGAGATAAATGATAAACAATGTTCACAGGTGCTTTTCATTTTCTAACAAATCCCAAGATGGAAAAGAGTGCACAATGAAGAATTTTCATTTTTCAGATTGAACAAGCTTATTCTTAGCATCTTAACAGACTCTCAGCGTATGAAAATTTTGTTCGATAAGTCCCTCTAATATATACACAACATGATACACCTTACTTCACATTATATCTTTGAACAGTTCTGCTGCATCACAATCAAACAAACTCCAAATGACTCGAAATTTGTGAGATACCACCTAACACTTCAAGGAACTCGCCACTATAGGCATTTCTGAAAATTCATGTTGTAAGCTCGTCTTTTAAATGCACGAGAGGTAAGTGCATGAAAATACAATTATGGTCACATCATAACTCTTCAATAACTTTTGGTTGTATAATAGGCAGTACACATAATTCGCAAAAAAAGAAAAAAAAATTCAATTAATTTACTTGTGTTTGTTATCAAAATTCAGAGTTCCAACTTTTTATTGCAACAAGGACTCCTTCTGCAAACACGCTTAGGGGTTAGATCACACTCAAGAAATAGTTTGTGGTTATATGTATAACATAAATCTAAATTGTAATCCAACAATGCATAGAAGGGAAAATATGAGCAAGATGAAATATCTTTTATGGGAATGATATTATATCGAAGGCATTAAAGAGAGAACCTGTAAGAAGCTGCGGTTTTCCGTGGAGGTATCTGCAATCAATATAAAGAGAAATATTAGATTGACATCAAAATAACTTCCATGCTATCCAGAAAAGTGACCAATAAAAGGAACCTCAAATGACATATGCACGCAGTTCAGTTTTGGATTACACATATGAACCCATTAAGTAATAAGATTNAAGGAACCTCAAATGACATATGCACTCAGTTCAGTTTTGGATTACACATATGAAACCATTAAGTAATAAGATTTAATATGAAATAGTATTCATGTCTCAGTTGTTTGAGCTTTTCATTATGATAGGAATATTAATAGAAGGTAAACTACAAGTTACATAGAATAGGTACTAGATTTGATACACTTTATAGAATTGAGTATCGGCTGTCAAGAACAAAATGTCCATAAGATTAATGCATGATGGAAATGAGGATGTTAAGATAGATGTGTGGATATAACACTATACCAGTACAACTAGTTATTGAAATACATGCTGACAAGCGTGAGTTGAACCAACTGAGATTATATTAAAGGAAAGACGATTAAGGACATAGAGACATGTCCTGCATAAACCTAAAGATGCTCCCATTCACCATTCAGAGAACTTGAGCAGTTGAAATTAGAAACTTTTTCTATTGAAACATCTAATCAAAAAATTTATCTTCCACCATTATTGTGATTGTGGCCCTTAGTTCTGACTTCAGAATTTTCATTCATTTGGAGTATGGTTTTCAGAATACCATAATGGATCAAACTCCTAGATGAAGGCAAAAGTGAAAAAAGGGGTCCCATATCCACACATCCCATTAAATTCTGCCAACGACCAAATAATGGCATATAAAGATCCACAGTCCTAGAATCTCCAATGCTCAACCTCGTTCATTAAATAAATTGAATGCCTCGTAAAACTTTTCTGATACTCCATGAGCATAAATCGAATTGCCTCTTTTCCAATTATTCACCATCTACTAAAAATAAATACATAAATAAATAGAAACCCGACTGAAAGTGAAATAATTATACAAACCCTCCCATCGTTCTAATAACAAAATCCAGATAGAAAAATAAATTACCAAATACACGTAGCATTCAGATACTTGAAATAGAACCAGCTCAATTGCTTCTTCTTCCTCTTCCTTTTCTTCCAAATTCTTTTCCTTTTCCATATGATCCCTTTACTCGAAACTGATTTTCAATGAATCTTCAATACAATGCCTTCGATCTGAACTCTAGGACCATGGAGCAGAAACTCGGGGACCAAATTGATATTTTATAAAATCTGAGGGGTTTTTCTGGAAGTACAAATTTTTGCTCACTTTATACTTTATAGCATCACATAGCATTGTCTTGATACCGTTGATTCAGTAGAGTCAATTTCTAGCTGTCCGATCTATTGACTTGAACTGATGTGTTTGTATTAAGTAGGTGGAGTTGATTGCGGACTTGCGAAGAAACGAAGCTCCATTTATTCTCAGCATATACCCTTTATTAATAAAAAATTTATTATTAATTGCAAATAAAAGTTTATATTTTAACAACGACCCGACTCTATTAATGTTCTTTCTCTCGAGTAATTTGGCTTCATTTTCATTTCCAAAGATTATCCTTATATTTATTGTATAAACGATTTGCAGTTTACTATTCGAACATAGATCGTCCAACAAGTCGAACCGAGTTTGAATGGTGGATTGTGGACCATATCAGCTCGGCCCATTGTCTATATCTGAAAGTGAATGTAGAATTGGATTTGAGCCTACAAAAATAGTTTGGGCCATGTCATATTCATTCTTGAAACTATCCAAAATTTCAAATTCTCCACAAAGATTTTATTTATAGTCATTTTAGTCACCTTCTATCCCGTCTAAATTCTCATGAAATCTTCAATGAAATGTCTCAACCCGGTGTCCAATTTTCATGAACGAGTTACAAGCAAACTTCGCATGTGTCTAGGTGGGGGATTGGCAGACCAAATTCACAAGTTCGAAATCCTGAATAAGTTTAAAAATTTACATTTGTCAAGTACGTCCAAGTTTAAGTTCTTGCAATCATTTCCTCCTTCTTCTCTTGTTATTGATTTGTGTGTTTTTCATATTTTAGATTTGACATAGAATTGATGAAAGATGAGATCGATGTCGTGATTTAATATTGGACGACATGAAGTCTAATTCCACAAGTTGAGGGGCACTTTGGGCATTATTTTGGCACCATAAATAGGATTTTGTCATTCATTATTATGGTTGGACAATTTTGTAGATTTTACATAGAACACAAAGATGGGAACAAAAAAAAAACCAGGATTTGTAGATCCAAGGAATGATGAAAATTCAACTTGGGTGCAAGATTGGGTTTCATATTCTAATTTATGTTTTTGTTATACAATGATGATAAACTAATTTATTAGTTAGGATCAACGTTGTAATCGAGTAGAAACCTCTAAATTCTTTTATCAAGTTTTTTTAATCTCATTTACCTTTTTAGTATTATTTTTGCTACAATTCCCAATAATTGGAGTAATTAGCTTATAGTAAGTTGAGAAGAAAATTATTTGTTTAGGCCACATAGTAAAAATCAATAATTTGATAGAAGGTAGAGATACATTTTTACTATTGTTGTGATCCTTAATTGAATTCCTTCGCTGTTTAATGTGTTTCATTAAGGAATAATTCAATTTCACATAATAATATAGTTAGTTGACTTAATTAAATAAGATTTGTTTGAACTTGAAAGAGATAAATCAATGAATTTAGATGAATTCAACTGAATAATGACGGGAATTAAGGAAGATAACTATGGTGAAATCGTGAACCTAGCACCTTTCACACGTATTTGAACATTCAAAATTATTGAGCACGCATTCATATTAATTTGCCTTCTTAGTAAACTCCTGTGTGGCCTCCATTATTGTGCATTTTTTTATGGTTGAAAATTTTTGGAATAGTGATTAATGGGAGAATGTGTCGTGAAAAAGTAGTGAAAAGTTTTAAATTTGTNAACCATTAAAATTTTCATTCTCATTCTTCTACTCATTTTTAACCACACATTCTTCAATAAAATAATATTTTCCATCACATCAATAACTTTTCCTTCTTTTTCAACCACACATTCTCCATGGACCCCACTTGATGTGAAAGATAAAATGTATTATTTGAAGAAGAATGGCTCCCAAACGGATAAATAAGATTTGTTTGAACTTGAAAGAGATAAATCAATGAATTTAGATGAATTCAACTGAGTAATGATAGGAATTAAGGAAGATAACTATGGTGAAATCGTGAACCTAGCACCTTTCACACGTATTTGAACATTCAAAATTATTGAGCACGCATTCATATTAATTTGCCTTCTTAGTAAATAAGTTTTCAGTAATGCTAAATGTATATTTTTTTTGCTTTATATTGTTTTTGATATCCCCTCTGTTTTCAAAAAATTGTGGCCAAAAAAAGTATTTTTTTTAACTGTTCAATGGTATATTGTCACGTGACGCAATATAAATAATGATATAAAAGATGATGTACATATGACATGATTGATAAATTTTTAGGAAAACCACCACATTAAATTAATTTTGGTTCATTTTTCTAGTATTACAAAAGCAACATTTCACTTGACTTTCTAAATAAATTACGTATAGATTTAAAATTATTAAGATAGAGAAATACTTTGGTAAATGAGTAGGTAAACTAGTACGTATTCATACATTTTCTTCAAAATATTTATTTACAAAAAAGTAGGTATTAGGTCAATGATTTGGATAGAAATTTCACAAATTGGCAATAGAATAATACTCGTGTATAGATCCTCAATCTTCAAAAGTTTGACCATAACATGAATAATACTTGTGGGATTACGGACATGTCCTCTTTCGTGGCACGAAAGGGCGTGTTAGTACATTTTGTAAATTAGAATTTCCGAGAAGTATATTAGAATTTAGAACCATAATTCTTTTTTTTTTAATTATTATTATTTTGCAACAAGTACAACACTTATTTAACCATAAAAGCAAGCATATGACATGGCATGCACATCCCTTCTATTATACAAGATATGTATGCTAAGACATATGCTAGCGAAGTCGAACTTGCTGTATCATAAACATAAAGAGACTCGGGCTACGAACAGAATCAACTTCTCACCAGAAATCTTCCAAGGAAGATAAATTCGAAGNACGTATAGATTTAAAATTATTAAGATAGAGAAATACTTTGGTAAATGAGTAGGTAAACTAGTACGTATTCATACATTTTCTTCAAAATATTTATTTTACAAAGAGTAGGTATTAGGTCAATGACTTGGATATAAATTTCACAAATTGGCAATAGAACAATACTTGGGTATAGGTCCTCAATCTTCAAAAGTTTGACCATAACATGAATAATACTTGTGGGATTATGGTCATGTCCTCTTTCGTGGCACGAAAGGGCATGTTGGTACATTTTGTAAATTAGAATTTCCGAGACAAGTATATTAGAATTTAGAACTATAATTCTTTTTTTTTTTTTAATTATTATTTTGCAACAAGTACAACACTTATTAACCATAAAAGCAAGCATATGACATGACATGCACATCCCTTCTATTATACAAGATATGTATGCTAAGACATATGCTAGCGAAGTCGAGCTTGCTGTATCATAAACATAAAGAGACTCGGGCTACGAATAGAATCAACTTCTCACCAGAAGTCTTCCAAGGAAGATAAATTCGAAGGACTGAAAAACGAAACTTTTCTTTTTTTTCTCGAAACCATATTTCTTGATGTGGATTCTTCCGATGCATAAAATTTATCAAGCACAGATTTCAGAGCCTGACGAACAGAATCTATGAGAGGTTGGCAATCTTCTGGACTATTGACATTCTCTGTGTTGCATCCAGTCACTACAAAAACATTCACCATTCTACTTCCCAATGTAGCAATCTCAGCCCTGACTGTCTTCAGAGGGAGAGATTCGAGTGTGAGTCTTAAGTCGGATAAAATCTCGTGTCTGTAATCACAACATAGAGATGCCCGGATGGAAAAGAATGCTCCATCATGTTCGTCTGCCTGTTGTTCAACTCTTACTTCATCAATGTCAGTCGGCACAAGTGTGCCTTTAGTAGCTTCTGCGACTTTCCCTCTCAACTCTTTTACCTTATTGATAACTTCAGCCAGTAATAATGCTTTGTCCATCTGTTAATATCAATAAACTCATTCAGTAAAGCATAAACATGCATCCCGTTTAGATGACGGGATTAGTCTACGGCAACAGTGATTAATCACTGCCATCAAATGAGCACAATTTATCAAAGACAGTTTTCAGTGCTTTCTATATCCATTTTGCATGACAGATTAGTCTCAAAGTGCTATCCTCTTAGTATAATTTACAGAAAATCCATAAAGGTTCAATTCTAAAACTGTGAAGAATCTCACAGTGCTGCAATCTGTTCAATAAGTCAGAAACCAGCGATCCAATCCCGGAAATCTTATGTCACAGAAAAGGTTTGGATTTCGAAATATTCAGCAGCTTTGGACAATCACGGCTAAATATAGCATTCATTTAAATTTTGTTGGTGAGTAGTAGCAACAAGAACTTGTTGATGATTATGGACAAAAAAAACATCTTATTAGTAAATTTATTAGCTAAAATACACAAACACACTAATATATGCCCTCCCATGTACAGAAACATCACAGAGAATCAATATAGAAGCAAAAACAAGGCTTGACATGGGAATAAACTCGCACAAAACTTTAATACCCCAATACAAAATCACCATCTAAGCTTCGACAGTAATGGCATGCTTTACGAGGTGGATAATAATGGAAGAAGAAAAACAAGCATTTTAATATCGACCCCTCTCCAATATTACGAAGCAAACATGCGCCAAGTATATATAAATATATCGAAGTACATGTAAATCTGCAGTGTGGATCTACTCCATGTTTGTAGATCATGCTTACAATCATTCAACCATTAATAACTGCAAGAGCATATAAATGTGATTTTTTCTCACATGCATTGAGTCAAACACTAAAACTACCTATTTCAATGCTTTGTAAGAAGAAGAAGAAGAAGAAAGCTAAAATCTTGCTCATTGCAATATCGACCCTCTCCAATATTACGCACCAAACAAGCCCCAATATCTACATATATCTAATTACATGTATATCTGCAGTGCGGATCTACAGCATGTTTGTAGATCATGCTTACAATCAGTCAAGTACTAATTGCAAGATCGTATAAAGGTGAATTAGTCTCACATGCATTGAATTAAACACTAAAACTACCTATTTCAATTCTTTGTAAGGTGGACACGAGGAGAACAAGAAGTTCATTATAATATCAACTCCTCTCCCATATCAAGCACCAAACATGCCCCAAGTAATCTACATATATCTTGTTCGTGGAAGCAAACAACTGCAAAAGCATATAAAGGTAAAATATTCCTCACATGCATTTAATCAAATACTTAAACTACCTTATCTGTGCCAGGAATGAGGCTCCTGAGAGTGCTCAAATGCCCATTAATTCTTTCTCTTCTACGCCTTTCAGCCTCACTGTGGTTCCTCAAAGCTATCGATGCCTTCTCTGCATTAACTTCTTTTTGGCCAGGCTTCACCATAGCCCTCACAAGCTCTCCCCTTTCTTCATCCAATACCAACGACGAACTTGATGAGGATCCATTTGTTATTACCCCTTGAAACCCAAAATAGTTATCAGAATTCCCATTGATAGAGTTGAAAAAATCCATTCTTTTTCGTCAGAAATCACAGCTGAAACGAAGTAAAGAGAATTCGTCGGTACTGGAAATAGGATGGCCAGTTTTGGGTTTTTCTTGTATTCCCATTGCTTAAAACAGCAAAAAGTAATACTTTATTAAGCAGTTTTTCAAGATTTTCGTCGAGAAGAGTAAATAATATACTATAAAAGTGCTTCGTTCTCTTAATTCTTCTTCAATTAAAACGTTGCAAAAATGTTTTGGGATCCCACATTCAAGAAAACAGGTACTCTGTGTGTGTGTGTGTGAGAGAGAGAGATTTTACAAGAAAATTGCAGCAAGTGTGTTCACATTTTCAGGCTATTTAAAGCCAAAATTGAGTCATATTTTATACTTTTTTTTTTTACCTGTTCTTTTTTTCTTTTTCCTCCATTTTTTTCGCTTTTATAACGATCAACAACCAATAACTATTAAATTAACAAACTCAAAGATCAAAAATTGGAAATAATCATCCACAGCTATGTTGGAATGTATTGCTTGAACTCGGCTAGGCTCCATGACCCCATGCATGATTATATTTGTCGAAACATGCTAACTTCATATCATCCTCGTCACACAAGAAAATTTTATAGATTTTATGCATGTAAGGCTAGTTAACGATCATTGAGTTCGTTCACAAGTAAATCAATTTCAAAATAGATAACATTTTGGTTAATTTGAATTAAAATTTTGCATTTATAAGTAAATTTTCATCTCAATTTTTTTAAAACTCATTTTCAAACATACATTTCGTGAGAAATTTTTTTAATCAAACCAAAACCAGAAAGATTTTCACATACATTTTCTACGTATATCAAGAGCTTTTTACACCGAGTTCATTAACTTCAATCATAAACAATCACATAGTAGTAAACTTTTAAAATATTTGAACATGTTATATATTGTACTCATTTATGCTCTATGGACTAGAATAATAAAACTTTATGAAGGAACAATATTAATAAAAATTGTTAAATTATTGTTAATTTATTACTCAATATATTTTAGCTTAAAAATTTTCAATTATGTTACTTCTATGAGTAATCTAGTATTATGTAGCTTTTCAATTAAGTACTAAAAGACTTAGAAATTTCAAGGAATTTTTTTTTTTTTTTTTAATCATGTGTTATATATTAAAAATAATCTGATAATTAAATAATTTAATTTTTTAGATTCTTAAATTTAATAATCTATGCAGTTATGCACTCCTTCAATAGGATTCATTTTAGAAACATGGAAACTTCATTGGATCTATGAGATCATTTTTGATTATCTATGATATATTTTTAACATAGGATAATGTAATACTAAAAGGAAAATTGAATAAAATAAAAAAAATATTACTTTATTGCATAAAAATATATCATAATCATAAAGCCATTTTTCTAAGGAGATACCAATCTCGCACGTACTCGTACTCCATTTATTTTTTGTAACCTTATATTAGTGAAATAAAATTTAATATTTGAGACAACAATCGAATAAAATAAAGTAAGAATATGATTAAACATAATATATATAAATTTGATCTTGTTTTACTTTGTCAACCACGTGTTTCTTGGCACTTAGATACAATATTTGATCAAAAAAATTCCAATACGGTTTGTCCGGTGCTTTTTGAACGCTGCATTATCCTCTTGTGGGCTTTTTCATCAAAAGCCAATCACAAAACTCACCTACTTCCTTTGACAAATAAAATTTAGTGTGAACTTGTAAAAGGGATCCTTCTTTTCCAATTCTACACAATTACATGATAATGTTTGGCGTTAATTCTAATAAATCATGCCAATACGGTGAACTAACTCATCGGTAGGAAGTGTAATTGACGATATCTAGGAGAAGTGATATGTCTATTCATTGAAATTTGTCTACATAAAAGCTAGATTCATTAATTTATTAACCATAAAAGCAAGCATATGACACGGCATGCACATCCCTAACTATACATTTTGTTAATTATCTTTATTCAAACTTGCGTACATTCGCTGCTTGTGATTGAGGGTCAAAAGAACTATCATCCTCAATCACTGCTAACGAATCAAGCTTCATGACCACTTCAAACAATGTATCTTCCTTCGTGAAGTAATTAGAGACGTAGTTGACATTTTGATACCAAGAATGACATAGGAAAAATTAGTAAAAAATTATTAACACTTTTTACTAAGTAATATTAAAAAGGTAAATAATTTATAAATTTAAATTATTGACAAAAAATATCAATAACAAAAATAAAAATTAAATACTAAAGTGAAGTCATAAAATGTTCAAAAAGGTAACTTATTCCCTGGAAATATCATAAAGAAAAACAAAAAGATATTTGATTTTAACTATCAAAAATTATGTAAAAATAGTAAAAACAAAATTTTATTAGTAATATCGATGACTTATTGTCGAAGATCACCACAAAAACACCATAGTTTTTAGCCAAAAACGATCAACAATATTTTCTTTGACAATCTCTAATAAAGGTATGTTAGTGATCACTAACAATATCATTATCAATTATTCCATTTCAATCACCTCGAAAATTGATTCAGGTCAAATCTTCAATGGTTTTACCATTGAATTTCTAAAGCGATCATTTACTCCATTAATGTTATTTTTTTTATTTCTCAAAAAATCTCTTAAGTCATTTTTCTAAGAAAAATTTGCAGCAGCGTTCCCTAACATTATCCTTTTTTGTAGACTTTATTCCAACCTTTATTTTGTGCCAAAGAATATCCATAACCTTTCATAAATATGCAGTTGGGGTCATTTTGGACGGAAACCGTCCAAAACACCATCAGTTGACCTAGAAAATGTAAAAATCAAGTGTATTAACCCTTTTAAGGAGTGACAATTTCGTCTACAATAGAAATACTAATTCGACGAAATTGTCCATCCTTAAAAGGGTCAACATACCTAATTCTTTAATTTCCAGGTCAACTGACGGTGTTTTGGACGGTTTCCATTCAAAGGGACTCTAATTGTATATTTATGAAAGGTTAGTGACATTTTCTGGTACAAAATAAAGGTTAGGATAAAGTCTACAAAAAATGAAAAGATTAGGGACCCTTATGTAATTTTCCTTTTTTCTAAGACCTCCAAGTTTGAGCCGCCTCTGAATATTGTTTTGTTACTGTGTATGTGAACATAAGGTGATATAGTGGTCAATAAAAAAAAAAGATTTATTTCTGACGATATTTTTTATTAGCATGCACGCTCATGCAAAGAAAATAAGTATAAAAAACATCTTAAGTGACATTAGCAACACCTAAACATTTATTATAAAACACTAGTCAACTGATTATCGTGACCTATATCAGTTGAAGGACAACTCTTTTCCACAAACAATATAATTTAGTTTTTCCATGTTTGATCTAAATTCTAAACAATTCTCAGACAGCAGAGACCATTTTGCACGTAGAAAAATAAACAAGGTAGAAAATTAAAAGAATATGAGATCATATAGCATAAGATAATATTCCAAGTAATTGGTTGAAGTTTAGTTGGATAATTCTTTAAATTATTGCATTATGAAATGTTAACTATAAAATTTGCCAGGGAAATTACTGATTGATGTCAATAAACCTGTAATTTACCTAACCAATGTTATATATTGTACTTAGGGCCAACTCCCGTGGTAGACAAAAGATATTAAATTGAATCATGCTACAAATACAGATAACTTTTACATGTTTTTTCACAGATAAACATATGACAAGATTTCATTGATTTTTGTCAAAACAAACAAAAATAATGCACCATATTTTCTTAAACTTATTTGTAACCACTGGCGGACCCACACGGGGGGTCATGTGGGGTCAAATGACCCCACAATTTTTTTTTTTTTTTTTACATAAACATTTTTGAATTCTTATTTTTGACCCCACAAGAAAAATGATCTTGGTCCGCCCCTGTTTGTAATTACACATTATTTTGAAATACTCAATTTTTTGTTCATACTACAACGCTTGAAATTTTGAGTTTTGCCGTACGGACCTAAGTGGCAGAGTTTGGAAAGTTCAGGAACCAAACTATAATATAATATGGGAAAAATTACATGTTTTGATATCATTGGACTAATTATAAATTAGAATTTAATTGTTTGAGGTTTAGAAGCCTTATTGCAATTTTTGACAAGTTTGGGCCTAAACCGTATCTAGTCCCATCCAGCTGGACAACAGTGTTTACATTTAGTTTTGTGGAAATCAGTTATTTAATTTTAACTTTCTAAAAATCAGATTTTCCCTTTATTTTTTCAATTTTCAGGTT